TAGGCGACCCCTGTGAAAAGATCATTCAACCCCAAAGGGGTCATGACCCACAGGTTGAGAACCACTGGACTGCAAGAAAAAGAATGTGATCTCAGGACTGGAGGAAGGCTTATTGACAATCTTTGATATGCAGATAACACAGTTTTGCTTCAAGCACTTGCTGATGAAGATCAAGGACTATAGACTTCAATATGGATCCCAACTCGATGTGAAAAAAACAAAACCTCTCACATCTGACCAATATCGAACAGCTTATTGACAAATGGAGAAAGGATTGACTTTGTCAAGGATGTCATTTTACTTGGATCCATAATCATGGTTCACAGAAAGCACAGCCAGGAAATCAATTGATGTATTGGGCAAATCTGCAGCAAAGTGCCTCTTTTAAAGCATTAAAGAATAACGATCCGACTTTGAGAACTAAAGTTCCCCTCCCCAAGCCATGGTGTTTTCTGTTGTCTACTATGCCGGTGAAAGTTGAATAAGGAACACTGGAGATCATTTGACTTTTGATAATGATCATGACCATGGACTGACAGCCAGAAGAACAAATGAATTTGTCTTAAACAAAGTACAACCAATATGCTCCTAGACGTGAGGCTAGCAACACTTGGTCTCAAGCACTTTGGACACGTTACCCAGAGAGATCCGTCTCCAGAGATGGACGTCCTGTTTGGTGGAGGGTCCATGCAAAGGGAGCCCTCAGTGAGATGGACGATTCGCTGGATTCCACGACAGCTGCGCGCACAGCCATGGCGGGGCTGATGCAGGGCTAAGCTGCAGAGGAGTGCGCAATGCATAGTCCCTGCGAGTCAGAGGTGACCCGGTGGCAGCCACACGACACAAATTGGCTTTTCTAAAGGTCAAGTTTTTCATCTTAATCAAACAGAGAATACATTTCATTTCTAATTTTGAACTTTCGTTTCCTGAGATTCACAGGGCCAGGGTGGCTCAGGTAGCCTCGATGAGCTCTTCTGATTTAGCTGTTTACTGGGCTGTGTAGAAACATGTGATGGGCTCTGCTCTTCCCAGACTACTGAATGGCGAGGCGAACCTGAGGGGTTATCTGTTCTCGGAGAGTCCTACCATCGCCTGTTCAGACATTGCACCCATTTTATTGTTTCAAAACCACTGTCTTCAGTACATTTTAAGATTAACATCTAAAATTTCCCCTCATGATGTCTGAAAGTGGCAAAGGATATAATTTTACCACTATTGCATATGTATAATAATACATCTATGAGAAAGTATTGCAGAATTGGATCCACCCATCCCATCCCATTTTACAACCTTGTCGACCACATGAAGTTAGATTTCATTGTCAGACTAATTTGTTAAGTGTGTCAGAAAAAAAACCTAACTTTATTTTTTATCTCAAACATGTTAGCATACCCCGCACAATAATCTTGTTATTTCTAAAGTGCTAACACAGCAGTAGTTTGGGAGGGAATTTTTCCAACATGCCACCACCTTGTTAAGTCTAAGGTGCTCCCTGATGAGACTCTTTCTGTGGGACATCATTTTGGAATAAGGATTCCTGGCAACCAGAGGGCTTCATATACTGATTATTTTCTGGATAGATGAGACTTTTATCTTTCTTTTATAAATTAAAAGAAGTATAAACATAGAAAGTATGTTGGGAAAAGAAAACTGGTAGATCAGGATTAAGAAAGAATTCAAATGGAAGTAGAATATATATCAATTCATGCCTGCCAATTGTTTGCCCTCTGCTGTAGAGTCGATTCTGTCTTTCTTGTCCCACTTGTCTTACCTCAGTCCAATAGGACTGATAACTGGCCCATGTTTTATATATATATATATATATATATATATATACATAAAAACATAAAAATCTCTGTATACATTTACTGGAAGAAGATCTTTCTTATGAGAAGTGACTGATGGATTTGAAACACTAATGTTTTGGTTAGCAGTGAGTACTTTAACCGCTGAGACACCACAGCTGCGACCCCATCTATCCCCTAGCAAGCATTGGGTGTCCCCTGGGGTGCATTTTCTTTAGCTGGAAGACAGTTAACCCTAGAGAGGTGAAAAAATCATTTTGTTCCTGATTTGGCACTGATGTTCTCTTACAGAGCAGAATGGAGTCGGTTAACATTAAAGCAAAATGCTTTATTGAAGGAATAAAACGGCCTAGATTGGGCGGCATTTCATGAGGATTCAGCTAAGTATGCTGGCAGATTCCTTCACAGAGTTTAAGTACAAAGAGAAAAAACAAAATCCAGGAACTAATAAGAAAGAAAAACTGATAGGTTGAAATTTTTGAGAATCATTCTTTAAGAGACAGCAGACAGTTCCCCGAGGATCTGTGACTTCGTTTTGTTCATCACAAAGTCCGAGTCCGGTAAAATCGGTGATGCCCTGCTATTTTGAGGGCCATCCTGAGAGAATATCCTTACTGGGAGCTGGCTGAGGGAGGAAAGGAAAAGAGGGAGGCACAGAGATCTCGGGAGAGTCTAGTTCACAGGCTTTTTATCAGCTCAGAATAAGCAGTGAAAAACAAAAAAATAGAGTCCAGCCTATAGCTTTGGCAGAAGTCTTTCCTAATGCCAAACATTCAGATTAAAAACAAACAAAAAAATCCCTTCACAGAATAAATGGAGACCCAGGATAATACAATCCCCTTGGGGAGATTTTCTGATATAAGTCAGGATTCCTTTGCCCTGTGAGTAGATAAAGGTGCTCTAGTGGTGAAGTCTTCATTTGCTAACCAAGAGGTTGGCGATGTGAACCCACCAGCCTCTCAATGGGACAAAGGTTTTGTAGTTTGCTTCTGTAATGATGAAAGCCTTGATGAATCGCCCCATGAAACTCTATGGGGCGATTCTACTCTAATTTATGTTGTTGAGTTTCAATTGATTGTACACATACACACACACACACACACATTTGCATGTCTGTGAATTTATCAGCACGTGTGCAGGACTAGCCCCCTACGTAACCGATCTCTTCCATATGAGGCCCGAAGTCTAGTGGGGTAGTGAGTTGAGCAGTGGACTGCTGTCCTACAAGGTCAGTCGTTGGAAACTCCCAGCTGCTCTGATGGAGACAGAGGAGGCTTTCTGTTCCCCCAAAATCCACAGCCTCAGAAACCATCAGGAGCAGTTCTGCTCTATCCTGTAGGATTGCTGTGGGTGGGAATCAACGCAATAGCTCCTGGGTAAGGGGGTGAGGGTCTTCAAGGTGAGGCCACCCCAAGAATTTATGCTGCCATGTATCTGTTTCGTCCAGGTGCCAGTTGAGTAGTGTTTGGGGCTGGTCGCATAGCAATATCTGAAGGTAGTGTCAGGAGTGAATGCCTGGTCCGTCTAGACCAAATCTAAGTTGGGGCCCAGGCTACACATTTGCTCAGAAGCTTTGCTTTCTTATGTCAAGGAGATGTTTTCTGTTTGTCTCATATTATTGTATGGTGTTGTGGTAGGGTTTGGGTTGACTTGGCTGGACCAGGATCTTCAGTGGTTTGGCAGTCAAAGCATTGTGATACTCCATGATGTGATCTCACACAATGGAATCAATTCCCCGATGGGGTCTGATGTGAGCATTCTAGCAGATGTAAGGATATTAGATTGGCATGTAACCCCCTTAATAAGGTTACCGGGATGGTGCAATCCAAAGAAGGTTTTCTCAGAGGTGCGATCCAGCTCCAAGGTAAGAAGATACTGGGCAAAACTGCTTGCTTCTTGCTCTGTCTGGATCCTGCATCCGGCTCACCAACCTCCAATTCTTTGCACGTTATCCACTGGCCGCCATATTACTTGCCTACCCGGGGAGTCTACAGTAGGCTTCCATCTGACCTGCCAACCTTGGCTTCATTCACCTCTGCAGTCACCCTCCTGCTGATCTTGAGCTCAAAGGCCTCTGCAGCTCTAGGAACCAAGCGAAGTCTACAGACTAACAGCTGATCCTTGGGCCCAGCACCTCCCCAGACTTAGACTTGACCAGCCCCCCAGCTGTGCGAGCCATTTTCTTGGTATCTGGTTCACACTAGATAGACATAAATAACTTTTCACTGGTTTCGCTCCTGTAGACAACCCTGCCTAACACAGTGATAAAAAAAGTCCCATGGATATTTGTTGGACTTTTAGAAAAGCTATTCTAATATATATTTAATTTTACATATTAATCATCAGCCAATATAAAAAATATATTGGATGTTGATTAGTTAGGATTTTTCTAGTGTATTTCTGTTCCTCAAATCATACACACCTCATATGTCCCCATCCATTATGCAAGTGACAGCGATACGTCCTTTAGAGAAAATGTTTTGTGGACTCTTTGGAGCGATGAAATTGGAGTAGAGGGGGAACCACGGCCTGAAGAGGGGTTCCTAGTATGAGTTTGTCCCATCTACCCTATGTGCCATATTCCTCCAATATTTAATTGTGTCATACGTTTTACTCAATGTCATTCCAAATGCATTTTGGTAACTTTATATCGTGTTACTCTGTAATAAACATACCACCTTCTCGGATGCTCATAACGGGTTAGCTTATTTTTGCTTCCTGATACTTCATTTCAAGGCCAGGTTTAGAAAGGACAATTAAACATTATGTGTTCTTATAAGCATTCTCCGAAGGGCTTGGTTTTTTTATGCTAATCAACTTATCATCATTCATAATTATCTTTAAATAGCTTACCCTGTTACCATCTTCATTTCTATAGTGATTTGCATATTAGGTATCACAAAAGTCATAAAACTGTTAAGAGCAACAGTAAATTATTCTCAGCTTTTCATAAATGTTTATACTTTTAATTTGGGTTTATGCAAAGAAATATCCTCTTGAACTAATCAAGTGTTATTGTTTTAAAAAATATATAATTATAAGTACATATACCCTTGCTTATTTTGAGCACAGAAAGTATATATTGAGGCCCAGAAAGTTAATTTATTTTATTAAAAAGCTGCTTACCCTCTTTTTGTGTGTGCTTAATATAATCTCACTTCTGTTTACATATATATCAACATGTATTTGTATTACCTCAAGATTTTAGTGACTGCCATCTCCTTTTCCAGAAGGTTCCTTGCCCTGATGCTGAAAACAGACTTGCGAAGCTGTAAAACAGTAAGAGTAGTTCTTTAGTTTTAGAATGTACCGATTGATGACTGAAAGACATTCAAACAACATTAAACATGAATGTTTCCCCTAAAGTATCATGATAGCATTAGTTTTGTTATTTAGTTTTTCTTCTCCTTTGATTTTTCTTTGGGGCAGAACATCAAACCTCCTTACAGGATTACACACCATGTCTGTGGGGGTGATGCATTGACTATGCATATAATGCTTTTCCTGAACAGCTTTTTTTTCCATTTTCAAATACTTCAATGTCAGAACTCACATTGCTTCATATTGTCATTAGCACAAAGTTCTCTTGCTACCTCATAATCTACACCCAGTTCTTAGCCTCTGACCTGTGACTCATTTGTGCAGGAAGTTTGCAGGGTCTTTTCCCCATGGGCACGTGGACAAGGAAAGTGAACTGCCTTGGTTTCTTCTGAGTTGGCAATTATAAAACTACTGCAGGGGAGAGAGCTGACAACATCAGTCCTGAAGGACTGACCGCGAACTGGAGATGTATGCTATCTCACACATGGCCTTTGTCCTGCTGGACATTGTCGTTTGATTATTGACAGGTGGAGGCGACTAAGTGAGTGACGGTAAAGACTTGTGGGCAGAAAAAAGATGGACAAAAATAAGCAACATCATCAGGGGAAGATTCCTAGCAACAAATAACAAGATGGAGTCATGACCCTCAGATGAAACTAAAGGTAACAATTGGAGCACAGTTAGTTAAATTTGGTCAATAGACTTGGCTTGGTGTGTTGAGTAAGTGGCATGGTTTTGGTAACCATTGGAATTCTTTGGTAAATAAGAATCAGAATTCCTGCTTTCTAGAATTTAATAGCCTAGTTACGGAGGTAAAGATGGGCATATGAGATCATCATTAAAATGGACAATGGAGTGTTATAAAGTGCTAGATAATGTGTTGAAATCTTTTTCCAAGAATTATTTGAAGGAGTAGAAGCTATATTGGTAGGTGAAGGATGCTTTTGATTTCTGTAGGCAAAGGAAGCACCTTAGGTAAGTAATGAAACAGACAATATGTGCACAGAGCATGTTGTTGCCGTTAGGTGCCAACAAATAGAGACCTTATGTACAACAGAGGAAACAGCCCTGGTTTCTGCACCATCCTCGCCATCACTCTTATACTTGAGCCCACTGTTGCAGACACGGAGTCAATGGGCCTTGTTAAGGGCTTTCCTCTTTTTCACTGCTCCTCCACGTCTCCATCGAGGACTCTCCTAATGACAAGGTCAGTGACACAGAGTCTTGCCATGCTTGCTTCCAAAGGGCACTCTGTCCTTCTTCCAAGACAGATTTGCTTGTTGTTGGGTTTTTGTTTTTTTTTTTGCATTCCATGGTATTTTCAATATTCTTTGTTAACACCATCCTTCAAATGTATTGATTTTTCCCTGGTCCAACTTTCACAAGCATTTGAGGTGATCGAAAATCCCATAGCTTGGGTCAAATGCACTTTAGTCCTCAACGTAACATCCTTGCTTTTCAACGCTTCAAAGAAGTCTTGTACAGCAGATTTACCCAACACACTGTCGTGAGCACTGACGGGGCCTAAGCAGGAAAAAGTCCTTGACCACTTTCATCCTTTCTCATCTACCCTGTTGGTCCAGTTGTAAGGATTTC